GGAGGGGGGGGGGGGGGGGGGGGGAGAAAGAGGGTGGTAATCAGCGCGCATCACTGGAGGAGGCAAAGAGAAGAAAACGGAGCAAATTGGTGCGTATCACTACGTTGCGCCAACAAACAAATGGTTGTAGGTCACAGGCCAGCAACCCGGCGATTTGGGGTCGGTCGTGGGGCTGGGGGAATCTAACAAGTGAGTTATCCCCCGCACGTCGTGTGCAAGGGTGCTTCCTCCATCCACACCAGACACGTCAAGCAGCACTGCTATCTTCGTTTCCCGGTACGCCCGACGGGGTTAGAAATTGCAAAATGGCATCTGCCCGCCCGCAACACACACACACACACACACACACACATTTGGAAAGCCACCCACACGTCAACAACCAAGTATGGTCTTTCAAAAACAACGCAAAAAAAGATGCGCACACAGACACCAAGGCTGGTCTTGAAAAGTACCACAAGAGCTGACAACCGCGGCTGACGCAAAACATGAGTACGCCCCCCCCTCTGGAATGAAGCGCATACATACGTAGCCCCAGTAGAGATGTGAAATACAGAAAACGAAAAGACATATTTTATTTTATTTCTTCTCTCTCTCTTGTCTCTCCCCCTTACCTCATCCACGAGGATGTCTTGCACGTGCACCGTTACGTAAACGCCTCTGTCCATCTCCGGGCCCATGCTCTCGAACGAAGCGTCGGCACTGCTGCTCGTACCGTGCCCGACCTTAGCCAGGTGCCAGTGTCTGCCCGTGGGACTCTTCCCGCCCCCGGCACCGCCGCCGCCGCCTTCGAGCACCTTCACGCCATCACTCATGAACTGGACAGAGACGCGTTTTGAGTTCCGTTGGAGTTTGCGGCGGCGGTGAGATCATCAAGCGAGCAGCATCTACCAAGACGCATGCGGCTGGGATATTGCCTGCTGTGTGTGTGTGTGTGTGTCGGGGGCCGCGCAGACAGCACAAACTATATGCATGCGTACATCCCGTCGGTGAAGGTTGATCGATCCGAAGCGACCTAGCAGGAGCCAATCCAGCGCCACTTTTTCGAAAAACGTTCTGAAAATGGAACCTAAACGCAGTGCCCGTGTTGGCCTTAGGGCTTGTGTTGCCTTGTGTTGGAACACTTCTCGGGGCGAACTGGGATCGGAAGGAGTGCCAAAACACTGCAACCGCGGAGGTCAGAGCAGCAAAATGGCAGCCGAGAGGTGCCCAACACGGCCGGATTCTAGAAGCCTGAGGCTGAGACACCTCGCCCGGCTGAATGCCTCCGAGTATCCAAAGGTACATACGTACGTACATTGTACACCTGATCGCACACCTCTATCGGCGTGCATGTATATGTAGTTTGTGCATGCAGCTTGCGTTCAACCTGCTCATGATTGTGCTCGTATCCCTCCCATCATGCTGTCCTTGTTTTGTGCTTGCATCGCATCGCAAAACCACCGTAGCCTCTATCCAGTACAATACCCGCCATGGCATCCCCGGCAGACAATAGTGTGCCATGACGCTTCTTCTTCGTAGATACGTAGTTTCTTTTCGACTTCCCTTTCCTCATGTTCTTCCCCCCCCCCTCTCTCCCAAGTCAAGGAGATGCTAGAGAGTAGGGAGGAGGCGACCCTTCGGAAGAAGGTACGAAGCGAAGACCACTTGGAGATATACGGGAAGTTGAAAGAAGGGATAGGGATGAAGAAGTACTTGGACGGCCCCATGGACTATGCGAAAAAGCTGAAATTGCAATTTCGAGTAGGCGATCTGGACTTGCCAGAACGGAGGAAGAGGTATACCAGCCGTAGGAGAGAGAAAGAGGAGGATAGACACACATGTCCATGTGGCAAATCGGAGGAGAGTAGACCCCACATAGTTGGGGAGTGTGAGTTGTACAGGAAGGAAAGAGAGGATCTCGAGGAGGAAATGAGACAGAGAGGGTGTGACATGGACAAGTTTGGTAAATTAGACAACAGCGAAAAAACGATCGCGATAATTGGGGATAGATGGTGGGCAAAAGAGGCCCTAGAGGACGGGGATAAGATGTGCAAGAAATTTTTATGGAGTTTGTGGCAGAAACGTAAAGAGCTCCCTAAATGTTGGTGGTGTCTCTAGTAGGTGTAGGAACGGTGCTCCGTCTCGAAAGGGACGCGTGGTCAATGGTCAAATGACTACGGCAAGCAACAAATGAGTACGTCCCCCCCCCCCCCCCTCTCCCTCCGTCCATCTTCGATTTTCCATCTCACCTTAAACATCATATGGCGGCAAAGGCTGTGATAGTGAAACAACGGCATGTTCTCCAACGGACCATCTTCAAAAAACCAAAACTGTCGAGGTCAAAAAAACAAGGGAACATGGAAAAAAAAAAAAGGGGGGGGGGGGGGGGGGGGCTC